CGAAAAAATTTGTGAGCGAAAAACCGAAACCAAAATTAGCCGAAAGTCAATTTTTAAAAAGAAGCAATTGCCATTCAATTAAAATGAATTAAATGAACCAATATTTTGCTTTTTTCATAATATTGCTTCATTTGCAAAATTTCTGGATCGAATGTTTTTGTATTTCTATGTTTTGTCTGAAATCCTTGAAATATAACATTTGCTCCAATTTGGCGGCGGTCAGTGACAATTTGAAAATTTTGCATTTTTCTGCCGTTTTTATATTCGGCCAATATCAATATACAGTCCCTGCAAATGTTTACTTTCTTTCCAAATTTTAGATTACTGAAATCTGAGTGCCGCATTTTTATTTCGCGCATTCGGTCCTTCGCGTATGACGGATTCCACCGACGATGCAGCTCCAGTGTGATTGAAATGGTGTCCAGAAGATCATTTCTTTGTTCGTTAGAAGTACTTTCAAATTTAGACACTTTGAATGGCGTTTTCAATTCCCAACCATCGTTTTCCGAGTAAAATCGCAAGTCAAGTTTTTCTTCCAAGCAGAGTCTAAAATTTTAACATTTTTAAGTTTTTTAGGGCACCGCTGTTTTCTGTTAAATTCCTTAAAATTCTGTTAAAACCCCTTCAAGAAAGAGAGATTGTCAAGTAGATTAAATATGCGAGTTTTTTACCAATCAGATTGCAGCAAAACCCCGAAATTTAAATATAACGCTCTAGTGCAATTTACTGTTTTTACTGAAGGAGATTGAAATTCTTTAGTATATACCATAGAAGAGAGATTGTTAAGTAGATCTATTTTTCAATAGATCCTCAATTGAAAATCCCCACACTTCGCCGTTCAATTACACTATTTTGCTCAATTATTTGTTAAATATGCGTAAATGCATGACATTGAAATATATAAACAATTTTTATAGAACGACCGGATCGAGGTGCTCATTTAATGTTTCGACTCTTAAGGGGTTCGGGTCGAGCAGAAATTCGAAGCATATCTCGAGCACGGTCGAAACATACCTCTAGCACGATTAAAACTTACCTCGAGCACGGTTAAAGCGGAACCACAGCAGTCGAAATAAACCTCGCGCACAATCGAAATATATCTCGAACAGATATATACGGTGGAAAAGTACGGTGGAAAAGTATCAATTGTCCCGCAATAGTTCGCATTCAAAGAGAAAAATGTATTTCAAATACCAACATATTTTTTAACATTTCCGAAACAAATTGCACACAAGTATATCAAAATATGGAAAAAAGCTCAAAAAAATTTGTCCCCATAAAGCATTTAAAATGCAATTAACTCTAATCATTTCAATCTGATAAAAACATCTTAAGATAATACCCGAAAAGCATAACCTATAATGTTTAAATTTGAATAACTCGCGAAACATACATAACTTTGGTAGAGCACGGTCGAAAGATATCTTGCTGTGTCGAGCACGGTCGAGCACATTTGTTTCGGTCAAGCACATTGGAAACCCACCGAAATTTGGTCGAGACGGTCGAAATCTATCGATTTTTCGTCGAGAACGTGAAAACATTTAGTGGGCACCTCGACCCGGGAAATGAACTACTAAACTCCTAACTAGTTTTCAAATAATCGGAGCTAATATTCAATAAGGATACCATTTACAGAAACGGCGCCGAGTTCCTCAGAGAAAACACTAAGGTGTGAAAATACAAAAGAGTGTTGCAATATGATTGGACCAATATAAAGAAAAACATAAGTATAGAGCCTATGGTATATGCCAGCTTCCCAACCCTTAGAACCTTTAACGGCTCGCGCCTCATCAGCCCCCCCGTATTGTATGTTGGACTATGATATCTTATTATTCCCCAATCTATCTTCTACAGTCAGATTGTTATGATTCTAAAACGATCTGAATAGAACGCTTTAGACTTAGAAAGTTAGCTGTTAAATGGGGTGCCGGACATCAAGCCGACGGTACTTCAAGCCGAATTCAAAGCAAGGGACTTCAAGCCGAAATTTTTGTCAAAAAGGGATAAAATGAGATTAATTTGAAACTTGTTTCGAATAATTTCTCAATTTCATGAGCTTTCTTCAGAAGTTATTGGGTTTTTCATAATTTTTGAGCCTTGTTCAATTGATGTTGTAGTATTGGAAATACTACTCGGACAAAAGACCATTGTCTTAATTGTTTATTTAACGACCCAATTAACGAAGCACCTCCCCTTTAAAGGAATGATTTAACAGTTGACAATTTTTGATTGTTGAAACTCTTAAACATTTCCCTTTTTGGGAGTTGAGTTGAAGAAATCCAATCAAACTTTCAAAGTATCACAAAAAATCAAAACAGCCACCAAAAAAATAAAAGACCCACCGACTTAAACTTATTGTTCCGACTTTCGATACGAAAGTAACGAAATATTTGTGCTCGGGGTGGGTTTTTTTTTCTTCAGACAAATTTCGACTTTTTAACTAGCCATTTTTGACGGAATTTTTTTATATCATTCAAAAGGTATTGCTGTCCTGAGCTTAAATTTGAAAAGATATTTTACCTGTGATCGTTTTTCGTAAAGTTATGAGGGTTTAAAGGTTGCCATTTTGGCCATTTTTACCAATTTGGGACAATTAATGCGCGGTAAGAAATCGTTCCAAATTGGTTGAACGAAGCTCATTTGCCATAATTGATTTGTTACAAGGAACCAAATCTATCTTTTTGTACTTTACATGGCGTGTGGGGGGATGATTTTCGTAAAAAATTTCAAATTTTAGAAAAAAAAACTTTCATTTTATTTTATTTCATTTAATTTTTTAAAGTTATTACTGCTCCATAAACCTTATGCTTCGCCCTGATCCGAGCAGTCTTGTTGTATTTTAAATATAATTGTTGTAATTTCAATTTTAGAAACTGGACGACCTTTTCTAATAATTTATCTGTCTGTGTGGGTATGCTTATACAGCCAAAAAATTGAAGTCGTGTTTCTCTTTAACTATCCCCCAATTTTTACCAAAGGCGGAGATTCATTCGCAAATGCCGTTGAATTAGTTGATTATAGGGGGGGAGGCAATTCGTTACTAGGTATCAGAGTGGGAAGGGGAGAACAGTTAAGGTTAAGAAAATAGCACCAAAACGAAGAGCGAAACAATTTTCTCAAGTTGTTTACTTTTCAAGACTGAAAATCAACTCCATTTTCAAATCCGGGGCTCGCTCTTACCAGTTTGGACCCCATCGGGATTCTCAAGGATCTTGTCGTTGGTACTAACTTATGACATCCAAATAATTCAAAAACAATTGGTTGTTCTTTATGAGCCTGGGATCATGATTTGCTTCAATATCCTATTCTTCCGTCAAAATTCGTTTCACATTAGGAAAGTTTTATTATTACAATTAAAATCAAAACATCGAAACTGGACAACTTATAAGTCTAAAAACCAAACACGGACATCGTGCGACTCACAAAGCTAAAAACGGAATTGTTCGACTCAAAAAGTCAAAAACGGACATCGTTCGACTCAAAAAACCTAAAACGGAATCTTTCGACTCAAAAAAGCAAAAACTGACATCGTTCGACACAACAAGTCAAAAACGGACATTTTTCGACTCAATAAGTCAAAAACAGGCATCGTTCAACTCAAAAAGTCGAAAACGGACATCGTTCGACACAAAAAGCCGAAAACCGAAAGCTTGAATCAAAAAATCGAAAACCGACATTGATTGAGTCAAAAAAGCAAAAAGAGACATCGTTCGACCCAAAAAGTCAAAAGAGGACATCGACTTAAAATTCGAAAAAGGACTTTGTTCGACTCAAAAAGTCAAAAAGGACAACGTTCGACTCAAAAAGACGAAAACTGACATTGTTCGGCTCAACAAGTTGAAAATGGACACCGCTTGACTCAAAAAGTCAAAAAACGACATTGTTTGATCAAAAAATCGAAAGCGGACATCCTTCGACTCAAAAAGTCAAAAAGAGACACCGTTTGACTCAAAAACTTGAAAACGGACATCGTGCGACTCAAAAAGTCAAAAAGGCCAACGTTCGACTCAAAAAGTTGAAAAAGGACGTCGTTCGACTTAAAAAGTTGAAAAAAAACATTGTTCGACTCAAAAAGTCGAAAAAAGGCCTCGTTCGACTCACAAAGCTAAAAACGGAATCGTTCGACTCATAAAGTCAAAAACGATATGGTTAGACTCAAAAAGTCAGAAACGGACATCGTTCGACAAAAAAAGTCAGAAACGGACATCGTTCGACATAAAAAGTCAAAAACGGACATCATTCGACTTAAAAAATCAACATTGGACATCGCTCGACTCATAAAGTCAAAAACGATATGGTTAGACTCAAAAAGTCAGAAACGGACATCGTTCGACAAAAAAAGTCAGAAACGGACATCGTTCGACATAAAAAGTCAAAAACGGACATCATTCGACTTAAAAAATCAACATTGGACATCGCTCGACTCAAAAAGTCAAAAACTGACATCGTTCAACTGAAAAAGTCAGAAACGGACTTCGTCCGACTCAAAAAAGCAAAAACGGACATCGTTCGACTCAAAAAGGCAAAAAAGGACATTGTTCGACCGTTTCGGTTGATTCATTAGTCTCGCACCTCAGCGCGGTTTCTAAAATAGGTGGTCGGTCTAATTTTTGGGCGCCCACTAAAGTAGCTAATGTTTTTTTTTCATTTTCCCTAAAAGTAAAACTGGTCTGTACTTTGCATCATATATGGTCAATATGGTGTCGATTACTGAAAAGCAGGACGCATGAAAAAATTTTGTTCATTTACGCTTAAATTTGACCTCCGTCAAAAATTTATTTTACCCACTCAACGATTTGCATATAAAATACGGTTTGTAGGACGACCTTTTGATATCGAAATCTAAACCAAGCTCGACATAATCGTTTCGATTTCAATTAAGAACGCTTAATTGGGTTTGGGCTTACGAGCCCATAATTCGAACCTGAAATCTCAACGCAATTAGACCAAAATGATCATGACTATACATGAACTCTGCGAGAAGTTTTGACAAAGATCGGTTGTCAAGTCGGTTTGTTTGTCTGACTTGTTTTGAAAGCAAAGTGTGTCGAATACGGTACCATAGTTAGTTTAGTTTAAATGGTTGAATATCGACGCAACAAAGATTTGAACGCATTTGTAGAGATCTTAGTCACTGGTTAGTAATATTTATCACCCTTCTTTAAAATAGCCATCTCATACCCTAAGTTTGAAGCTATCTTCATAAACAACTTGTGAAAGTTCAGTTTTTATCTGCTAGATAGCATTAACGGAGGAGTTAGCACTGTCTCGAATAAAAAGGAGAGAACATCAACTAGACGCAACGACGGTGTACACTCATTGGTAGATAATTTAGTTAGCGGTAAGTTTTTTCTCCATAAAACTCTTTAGCTTTTAAAATTTTTAAGAAAAAACTGTAGACAAAAATGAACTGATTTCGTATCCACATACATTCAAGGAGACATCACTATTCTAAACGCTATTTAAGTTCTTCAAAAGTAAAGACAAACTTAATTTATCGAATCAATTTTTTCGTGAGATTTCATCACAAAAAATTAGTGTCTAGAATGGTGATGTCTCCTTGAATGTCATGTAGATACGAAGTCAGTTCATTTTTTCAAGATTTTTTTTTAAATAGATTTCATTGGTTTTAGACAGCATCAGGGGAGGAGTAAGAAGTGCTTCTTTGAAAGAGGAAAAAAGAGCAACCATGTCAGCGACCAGTCAGACCAGACTGAACCAGACCCAAGCTCAGGTGGATGAGGTCGTGCAAATTATGAGTGTGAGTCGAACTTTCCGTTCAAACTGGGTTTTTGGCTTTTGAAAAAAATCCGTTTTTATTGATTATAATCACTTTACTTCATTTTCATTGCATGTGAAAACGAGTTTTTAAGTCAAACTAATATTATTAAACTGCAGCGGGGTAAGTTCAATTCTTGCAAATTTTCATACCTTTTCGAATATAAAAACAATGATAAACAAAAATCAGAGGTTCGAATTATAACCCTTTGAAACGACATTTTTTTCTGTGACAAATATAAAAACTATTTAAAAAATAAATCCACCCAGCATTTTGAGCGTGAAAAAAAAGATCGATTCATTGGTATCAGATTAATATAACCTATCCCAATATACCTGGTTTCAATCTACACACATTTTGTTACTTCCCTCACGCATTGCTTCCCAATAAACGTCACCTCACATACCAAAAGATGATTAATGGGCACGAAAAATGCAGTGTAGATATAGCATCCAACGTTTCTGCGCTCCCGCAAGATAGCTTACCGTAACTTTACCCCTTTCTGGATCAGATTAAGCTGGATGCTGCTACTAACCAAAAAACCAACATTATCAAAGCAAGAAGGATATTGAAACCCAAGTGGCAAAAAGTGGAGAGACTTGAATGAGAGACATCAATTGCTTTAATTGAGGGTAGAATTGCGTTGGGTAAAAGAGATTAATAATTAGGTTGTTTCATAGGGTACGATTTCATGTGCTATAAAAAAAAATTGATTAAATTGCTCAATAAATCGTATTCACAAAAACTGGAGCAACTAAGTGTTGTGCTGACAGCAGAAACGGTTTGGGCAACAGTTGTTGAAACAAAAATACGACAAAACATACGAAAATGGTATTTTCAAAAATCTTTCCTGAATTTTTGTTAATTTTCTGAAAGCTCTAAGAGTCGGTCAAAAATTGTTCAAAAACAAACGCTGATTTAAAATATTAGACGGGGAAAAATAACTTTACTTCATTGTGAGTGATAGTCAAATCTACAATTCAAATCGTTTTTTTTTATTTTGAAAAAAGTAGCCTCATAATAATTTACTTCATTATGAAAGTGAGTCGAATTCACAATTCAAATAGTTTTTTTTGTTCTGGAAAATAGTAGCATCATAAACCTCTACCTCAATATGAGTGTTATTCGAATCCACAAAACAATTTTTTTTTGCTTTGGAAAAAGTAGCATCATAATAATTTAGTCCACTATGAGTCTGAGTCGATTAAATATATTTGGCTGAACAAAAATTTGAAAAATTTGTGAAAAAACTACTAAGCAAGTTTTGTCATCAGAAAAATTTGTTTCAATTAATTTTATTTTAGAAACAAACTGTCTGTTTCCAATTTAGTTAGTTTTTTCCGTCTAATTTAAAGAACTGAATAAAAAAATTGCACAATTTTTTTCCACATAAAACGGAAAAATTTCATTAGATATTGATTCTAATTAATTTCTGGCTCATCTAATAAATCAGATAACAAAATTAATCGGCAACAAAAGTAAGCTTGAAAAAAAATTCTCATGAGCAAGGACCCACAACATTGGCGCGCAGAGAGTTAAATTCTTCTGCTTTAAAAACATGTATACCTTGTTAAAAAAAGAAATACACATAATACTTCCTCTAAGTGACGAGAAAGAGTAATTTTTTTTTGCCAGTTTTTTGCTGATTTTAGTCTAAACAGCCCAAGTTTCATGCAGTTTTTCTCGACACTTTACTAAGAGAAGCAAGGGGTCGGTTGTTAGATCCCTTTGTTTCTATTACTATTAGTAACTAAAATTATAAGTCTCAGTTGAATTATATCATAGATCATAATCAATCTGGTTCTAAAGTTAAAATGATAGTTATATAAACAGATAAATTAAAAAGGTTGATTAAATGAGTTATAAATGGTTGAACAATTGTCTTAAATACCAAAATAGGTTTGGGGTATTTAGTTTAGGTTACATTAATTTAAGTTAAAGAAAAAATTAGAATCTTACTTCTGTCAGTTCTGGATTGTTATATTTTTCAAAAGTAATTTTTATTAAACCGAAAAATAGTGATAAATAAAAAAGGTAAAAATTCTACTCGACTGAGTGAGTGAGCAAAATAATAATTCTGAAGATTCAGGTTGATTTGTTTCTCAGCTCTTTGGCTGAGACAAACTTGCACCTGCAGTCTAGACTCCAAACTTCATTTCCCCTTTTTCCTCATACTTTTGATGAAACTGAAGTTTGCAACTTATTGATTTTTTGGTATAAAAAATCAATAACCTAAAAGATGAGGGCAATTTATCAGCGTTGCACCTGCCTTACTTAATTAAAAATTCAAAGTCTTTTGTTAGGATCGCAAAAGGACCGCGGGCATTGTCGCCGCGCTGTCTGCTTTTTAAGGCAAGACAGTAAACCAGTCCGCCTAACTTGCGAGATACTTGTTTTCAAAATTCAGGCTAAAAGCAACAGAAAATTGTCTTTTCTGATTTTTTGAAAGTCGAAATACGACTAAAGTTGTTCCAAGATACCTAAAATTGGAAGACAAAGTTTCCTGGGACCACTTTAAGAAGTTTTAAGAAAAACATATTTTTAGAATGGCCAATTTTGGGTAAAGTTTTCGGAATAGAAAATGAAATAATTTGTTTTTCTGGCATGTTTCTGGCTTTAATATCGAAGCATTAATTTGCACTATTTTCGATTATAGAAAAATGGAGTTCAGTTTAGATAATCTTTCCCCGAAAATAAAGCTTGCATTTTGTTAGCTGATGTTCTGATAATTTACCATAGCTTAAATCAAATAGGTGGTAAATGCTTCAGTTGCTTTTTCGGAGATTTTCGAATTTGATTATTCCCGGATTAAATTATTTTTTTTGCTATATCAAAAATTTACCAATAATATGATCAGGAGCTTTAAATTTGAAGCCATAAGGTTTTCACAAAACCAAAAAAGAATATTGAAAATTTTCAAAAATTTTGTCACCTTATTTTTAGATCGACCAAAATGAAATTTCCGAGCTCTCCCAAAGCACTAAAAAGACCCTGTTTCGGTAAAATTTTTAGGCACTTTTTGGAAAATTTTGACCAAAAAATCGAGTTCTTTTGGCGCGAGTAGTATTGTATCGTGTCCCGGATCCTAAGGGGGGGTCCTTCCTAAGGGGGGGGTCCTCACGTAAAGCAAAATCCTAGGAAAGGGGTCCTTAATTTTTTGGAGGACCCCTATCCTAGGATTTTGTAAATGATCGCAAGTTCCCACCCCTAAAGTAAAAGACCCCCTCCTTAGGATCTTGTTAAGCTGAGCTCAACAACCGGGACGCGATACAATAATTCCTTCTAATTCCTTTGAAAGCGGTCCCTTTTCCCGCGATAATTAAAATTAATCGTCCTAATTCCTGAACTTTTCTTTTTTCGTCCTAGTTTCATGTGGATATCATTTCCTGGCTTTCTTTCTTTTCGTCAAAGATTTGTCATGCTATTAAAGTTTATTATTCAAAACAAGCCTAAGGATTTCACACATTTGTTTGAATTAACACTTGGTTTGTGTCTACTAGTTTATTTGCCTGAAGCTATTTATGTTAAAACAGTGATTGAGCTCAATACGAGTATTTTATTAGTTGTAAATTGGTAAAAACCAAAACATATACAAGTCGAAGTATAAAAAGGACGAAGAGTAAAAATCATCTGAAAATATATGTTTCAGACTTTAATGTTTATTGTTTTGGTTTTCTTTGCGGTGTTTTTTAGATGGTCGTTCTTCTGAAGCTTCAGATAAAATAAATGGGTTTTTTATAGGGGGACGTTCACGGACTCGGCTACTAGAAGCTTCTTCTTCTTCTTGCAGCTCTGCTTCTGAGTAGGGCCGCTGTAAAAATCCCCAATCCGGGAGTGTAAAATCGGGAGAACTGTTATCAGTTTCATTGTATGAGTTGGCCCACTCGGTGTCCATGTAAATGTCTTCTAGAAAAGCATTTTCTTCAGCGGCTTTATGGCCAAAGGGCACTGTCAAAATTCCGTCGAAAAGTAGAAAACGTTTTGAGTCGAATGGTGATAATGCAAGTTTGTTTTGTTTCACTGTCATATTGGTGTGACCTTTCGAAACTATATTATAGTTGTATACTCTCATTGTTTTTCCAGTGAATAATGTGTCCCTGAAGGTTTGGTGGACCAGTTCTCTCTGTGCACTCCGTTTAATTCCTTTGGCGCTCAATTTTTGAGTGCCTTCTAAACAATAGCAAAATTATTATTCTTTTCTACAACGTTGGGGATAGCTTCATTTCACTTCAGCAACTCAATTTATACCGAACAAAATTTGATTCATTTTACCAAAAAAGAGCAGAAGACTCTAAATTATGATTAAAAAAGAGGAAACAAGAGGGAATATGTTGTCAGATAAATCAACGTTTAGGCAACATTGTATAATGTTGCCTAAATCAGCTAAATGCCCATAGTTTAATGCAACAAATTAAGGGGTGTAGGTAGGTTGGTGGTGGTATTTTTGTTCTGTAAAAGGTAGGAATGGGGGGTGGAAGGGTGGCTTAAATTTTATTTACCATTAAGGACGACCGAATATAGTTTCGGTTTTAGGGCGATGAATTCTCTGATCGGCTTCCCACCAGTCTCGTCTTTGAACTTCAGCACAACTTTCTTGTTGGTATCCTCGAACAAGAAATGGTCCTTATCGTAATTTGAAAAGTCGAAATCAGCTTTTATTTTCTCCAAGTCTCGGTAAACGTCATCAGTTTTTATGGCGTAAATAAAACTATCCGTGTCGGAGTAAAGGAGTTCCAAGTTTAGATTTGGTTTCATTTTTTGATAGTGAAACTGAAACATGAAACGCTTGGCGAGGTCTAGGATGGTCGCACCAACTATCATAGGTTTATCCCACAATATTTTTGTTACTGAAAAGCTAATTGTGGCTAATTGATCGTCAATGATTTGAAAGCTTTTCATTGTGCTCAGAGCTGTTTTTTGTAAAAGTTCTCTCTCATTCCTTACAATCTCCAGCTTCTTTCTTCCTAACTTAGACTCCATTG